CAGCATGGACAACAGCAGCGATAACAACAGGGGAGTCAGACAATAAGGGACGGAGAGCGTGCTGTGGGGCAAGGACATTCAGGACGAGGTGAGAGAGAGAGAGAGAGAGAGAGAGAGAGATGCTTTTATGGTCAACCATTTACATTTTATCTAAGCGCAAATCGAACGTAGCATCAGTGCTTTGGTCATGATGGCTAAAATGTATGGAGCGGTACAGTCACGATATGGATAGGGGCAATCTTTCGATCAGCCAGTGTGTAATGAAATTGGTACCGGGAGAAAGAGAAGACTAGAGCTTGGTTAAATAGTCTGAGTCAGGGAGTGCAAGGACTCGGTGGAGGGTAATAATGTATCACTCTCGGTTATGCCCAGTGGGGTTTAACCTTGTGGATGTTCATACAAAATCCAACAGAGGCATCCAGAACAACTGCACCAGCACAACATTAAGAAAGGAGTTCATTTAGTCTCTAACATACAATACCTAGATACAATGTTGTACTCTTAATGACTACATTGTATCATGCCCTGAATCCATATAGACTCACTACATAGTTAGAACTAAAGCATTTTTTCTGAAGGCAATTACTTTTGATTTCTGATTTTGAATTAATTTCACCCATCAATGAGCTGAATTACCACTTGTTATCCACAGATAAGCCTTCTGACCAGTGGTGATTGACAGCACCTATTAGTCTTATACGTGTATTAACCTTTCAAGGTTGTTGCCGTGCTGCTGGGAAAAGCATGCAGCCAGAGAAAAACCATTCAGCACAGAAATACAAACATAACTCCCTTACCCTGGATCATTGTCCTGCTATCTGTTTTTATATCAATCCCTTTTCTGTATTATTTTCTGATCACTGATGTACACAGACAAACATACACACCTCCTCCCACTGATGTATGTATCTGATGAGTCGGGACAGTCTCAACAGACGAAGAAGACTGAGGATCTTGGTGAAGCGGACGATTCGCAGGGCACGGGCTGTTTTATATACCTCGGAATCAAAGCCTTTCTCTACTATTAAAAAGATATAATCCACTGGAATGGAGGAGAGGAAGTCCACAACGAACCAGCTCTTCAGGTAATTCATCTTGATGACCTTGGGGTCGAGGATGATCTCGGAGCTCTCCTCGTTGACGATCCCCGTCCTGAAGTTCATGACCAGGTCCACCAGGAAGATGGTGTCTGAGGCCACATTGAAGACCAGCCAGGTGGTGGTAGTCTGCTCTGAGAAGAAGGTTATTCCCACAGGAATGATGATTAGATTCCCCATCATCATGATGAGCATTATCAAGTCCCAGTAGAACCTGCAGAGCGACACACATGAATCAGTAATGCAAGGTCGTAAACATATTGTAGAGACAGTGCATTGATATATGTAGCTATAAGTGTATTCACATTTCCAAAGAATGTGAACACACTTTGAGAACTTTGCCAAAGAATATAAAGCTTCTATCAAAATCCACCATCAAGGCTGTAAGGCTAAGAGTGAGGCTGAAAAGCATTAAAGTAAAAGAAAATAAAGAATAGCCTACAGACACGCTGCAAGGCAGTACTTAAACACAATGGTGGCATATGTACTAGCATGCTAACATTTGCTAATAACATTACATTACATACAAGTTCAGCTGAGATTGAAATAAACGCCACTAGTTCTGAGGGTATTTGGGATGAACCAAAGTACAGGACAAATCAAAAATTTGACCGAATGGTGAAAAGTCTGAGGATCACCAAAGTCATTACATTTCATCCTGAGTGGAAACATTAACATCTGTACCAAATGTCATGACAATCCATCCATAAGTTGTTGAGATATTTCCCTCAAAACGACAAATGTAAACTTCACGGTTGCGCTGAAGGAAAGGTCAGGGGCTCACCAAAGTCAGCAGGATTCATCCTCTGGGGAACATGAATATCTGTACAACATGCTGCGAAATTTAAATCTGGACCAAAGTGGTGGACCGACGAACTAACTACCATTTCCTAGAGCCATCCAGCTAACATAGCAAAACAACAATGTTATGGTTGTTATTATAATCTGACTTATTTCCAGCTATGGAAGTTCTCAACATATACTGTATATGTTGCCGATTTGTCCAAACCCTAATCAGTAGGAAATTATTAAAGACCAAGGTCTGTGGACGCACAAAGGGTCTCCATGGGTCACATGCCATCCTACAAGTAATAAGCATGAAGTCCAGCTCTGACAGCTACATACACCGATCAGCCATAACATTATGAGCACTGACAGGTGAAGTGAATAACACTGACAACAAGTGAACATTTTGCCCTCAAAGGTGATGTGTTAGAAGCAGGAAAAATGGGCAAGCGTAAGGATTTCTGCAGCTCTCATGGGGTGTTCCCGGTCTGCAGTGATGCACATGGGGAGCGAAGGCTGGCCTGTGTGGTCCGATCCAACAGACGAGCTACTGTAGCTCAGATTGCTGAAAAAGTTAATACTGGTTCTGATAGAAAGGTGTCAGAAACACAGTGCATCACAGTTTTTTGTTTACGGGGCTGCATAACATTATGACCACCAACGTAGACAGTTGGTCATAATGTATGTTACTGTATGTATTCAGGGCCCTGTTAGAATGAGACCCTCTCATCCTTCCTGGCTGTGCTAATGTCCCTGCCCTCTGTCTTGTGATGAACAGAGCCAGAAGTGATTCATCAGCACCCTGCTCTTTTCACGAAGTGTCCTGGGCCTCGATAAAGGCAGAGCAACCATGAATGAAAATAGATGCTTTCAGGAATCCTATCTTGTGCTAAAAACTCTCCACTGACGCCATCCCTGCTGCCTGACTGACTGCCTGCCTCTGCTCTGCCTTGCCGCCCATCCATTGCTGTTGCTGAAGATGGAAATGGACTGGCTGGCTGGTTGGCACACTGCCTGTCTGGCTGACACACTTGCCACCCGGTAATGGATCTGTTTGAATGAATTAAAACGTGGCCTTGGCTTTATAAATATCCACGGATCATGTGTCCGATAATTGTCTTCACTTCAACTAAACAGCGGTCACCAAGCTGGTTCATAATATCCACCTAAGGTATTTTTACACCAGCAGGCATTGAACTGGGGGCCTAAGGAGTGGACTCTTCATATGGAGAGCCTTGACTTAACACCTTGAGTGGGACATCAAAGCACAGAACATGATGCTACAGATGCCTCTAAAGTATTAAGATACTTCTGCAAAAATAAGGAATGAAATTGACTTCAACTTAGCAATTACCACACATACCCTAAATTAAACAAATTAGAATAAACACACACTATTGTCAACCTTTCCGTCTATTGATGCCCCTTCAGGCGACATGCCAGGATAATGTGCATACAGTATCTGTGTGTGACATGAGTTATTCTTTTTATTTATATTTAAATGTTTAATAAGAGGTTGCAGTGAAGACATCCGCCATGATTCATCTTTTCAATTGCTTCATAACAAGATACAGTGAAAGAAAGAGCTATTCATATCTGAGGGGAACAAGGACAAAGATGAAACCATGATGATAAAGTAAATTTTTAGGGATCTTATAAATTTGTAGAAAACAATTACTTTAGATAGTTTAATTAGTCTGTGGTTAAAAGGGGGGGCTATATGAGGACAAAGAAAAAATTACCTCAAAAAGTCAAAGTTTATGATCTGAAATAAAGTAATGTGTTAAAAAGCACTACTTTTGACAATACAGTATTAATTAAATGTTAAATTAATTTGAAATCCGACTGAACATCTGTTAAATTGCTAAAGTTTCAAGTAATGGAAATGTTGGATGTTTTTCACTCATATTAACATAATGAAAAGCCCACGGAGTGCCCACATATTTCTATCTCATGACTTGGGTAGGTGGTATTTATACTGTACATGACCTCTGAGACACCCACTTATCTAATGAATAAAACATTGAGTTTCAGTTCTAGAATTTGAAACTATAAAAACAGGAAACCGCAAATAAAATTTACTGCTTAGAAAGAAGTTGTTTACAGACTAGAGGAAGATGCTGTTGTGGTTTAATTTT